CTCTACCCTAACTATTCTGGGTCTGTAAGTTTGACTGACCTCGTAACCACCAAAAAAATTAGGAAATAAATATAAATTATGCTTTTGTTGTTCTGGAATGACTACATATTATAACACGAGAACATGAGTGTTTAGTCTAAGTAGGTTAGATCTCATAACATTATACATTTATATATATTTATTATTTTTATTATATTGACCTTCAACTTCTAGTCATGCCTAGCTAACAATACAGAAGTTACAATGACACAGTGCATGTACACTCATGTAACTATATCCAATAATATAATACTGACCTTTAGTTTTTATAAAGTGACCTGTCTTGGTGGTGTTTTATTGGACTAGTATTTTGTTAAATACAGTCACATACAATTATTATACATTATATATGTACATAGATTATAACTATTTATAAATAAGTTCTTTATTTTTCATAAAACAGTAAATAAAAAAGTAAAGCAAACAATTATCTCTTCTATTTATGACCCTTTTACTTAGTTGCTGCTTGATGTAGGTTGCTAAGCCTTAAGAAATTATGCATGTGGAAGATATGAAACAAAATAAATTTTTCTTTTAGGTTTTCTATATACATTTGAATAACAAAAAATCATAAATTACTATATCGATACCATAGAATTCCATTACAATTTACCAAGTTTAGTAACTGAGCTGTATTTTGGCCTAAAAAATATGAAATTTCGAGCAGACTAAAAACACAGCCTACTTCCTTGAAATCTAGTTTCTAAAGAATGAGATGGCATCCTAACACATAAAAATGGCTGAGAAAGCCACTAAGGGGACATTCTAAGCTTTTGATTGGTTATTCACATGTCATATACAAAAAATAAGTGTATATAAGGGACTGTTTCCTAAAATGGAAAGAGGCGAGTGGGGCAACTGTTTGATTCAGTACATGAACGATATCTCAAACAATAGAAAATATAGGAGGTTCTCATTTTATATTCTAGCTTGTTATTTTTGGTAACTTGAGTTCCTAATTTGTACATAACAAAATACTTTGTATTTTGGCATCACAAACATCTAATTTGAACTAGTGCTATATTCAACATACTACGTGACACACAAAAATCAATGGTTGTGTTTTTTATATATTTACTTTTAAATTAAGAAATTGAATAATGTATAATACTAAAATTTGAATTATAATCTACAATTTGATACCAAACTTATTGACAAAAATACATAAAATAGCAGTTCAATAAAATTTTGAATGCAGGTCAACAAACACGATGACATGGCCTTTGACCCATGATCCATAGCAATGGGGTTAATGATATAATTAGGAAATTGGATAAGTTTGCTGATTGTATAGAATAATTTAGGTGTGGCTAGCTGTAATGAGGGTGTTATG